TGGTAGTTTTCTAGCTCTACTTCTGTTTCCCTTATTATCCCCTAACCGGCTAATAGGGATGTAGTCTCCAAAGATTCTTAATGAGAGCATAGGTGTGTGCACTGGATCTGTTCCACTGGAAGTTCCTCAATCACGTTCTTGTTTTCTTCAGTACCAGACTCGGCCTTAAAACAATTATCCTCCTTTTCAAAGAATTTGAATTTTTTAATCTAAGCAGATATTTTTGTTACCTTCTTGCCTTCCATCGAACAGGCATCAGAATTTCAGAAAATGCTCCTGGGTAAACAGGCTGGAGTGTCTGCCAAGTTCTCCCACTCCTCCTCTTATTCAATATCTGAGAAATATTGGCTAATTTGGTTTTTCAATGCCCTTGACACTGTCAAAAATTCTTTTGGTTCTTGATTCTTAGTAGCTTGCCTGCTGTGGATCCTCATTTTACCCCAGGCTACAATCAGTAAATTATTATCATATTATATTATATGTTTTTGAGATGGTCGTCCGCGCCTGCTCGCTCAGGCTGGAGGTGGAGTGGGCGTGATGGGCTCACTGCAAGCTTGGCCTCCCAGGTTCACGCCATTTTCTCTTCACCTCCCAAGTAGTTGCGACTGACGGGCGCCTGCCACCACACCCAGTAATATTTTTGTGATTTTTTAGTAGAGCACGGGCTTTCACTGTGTAGCCAGGATGTCTCTATCTCTGCTGACGCTTGGATCCGCCACACCTTGGCATCACAAAGTGCTGGTTCAGGGTGAAGCACCGTGACCCGCAGTAAATTATTTAAGGATTAAAAGAGACTACGAACTTTTGGCTCACCAAAGATTTATCGTTCTTCAGGATCATTGATGTCAACTCTTTTTGCTTTAAGCAATTCATTGATGTATTTCCAACATTTTAAGAGATTTATTCGTTTATTCATTTAGGAATGAAATTGTATACCATAAGGTCATTCTATCTGGAAAGTATGAAAGTCGCCTTTATTCATCTTTTTAAAAATTATTTTTATTGGGCCGGTGCCGGGGCTCAAGCCTGTAATCCCAGCATTTGGGGCACGAGACCATCCTGTGCTAACACGGTGAAACCCGCTTACTAAAAAACCACAAAAAACTAGGCGCGAGTGGTGGGGGCGCTCTGTAGTCCCAGCTACTCGGGAGCGTAGGCATTGAGAAATGCGGGAACCGGGAGCGGAGCTTGCAGGTGGAGCCGAGATTGCGCACGCACTCCAGGCCCTGGAGCGGACAGAGCTGAGAGCCCGTCGCTCAAAAAAAAAAAAAAAAGAATTATTAGAAAATACTGATACAGAAAAACCTTATCTTTGTTATCTTCCTTTGTTATCTAGTATAATAAGATGCTCCACACTCATCTTGAGCATTTCTCACCTTAAGCATGGAATCAGCCATTAAAGAATCTTATTATATGTTGATGTCTGCCTGTCAATCCCAGCATGGTCCTGGGAACAAACGAGATAACTTCTACTTTAGAGACAGGGCATTGCTTTCAGCAATCCTTATTAATTTAGCTTGGCATTAATATGTTCACTAGGGCAGCAAAGAGTTATTGAGCGTTTCATTATGCATTTGGTACTGTGCTAGGGATGATACAGTCTGTTATTGCATTCAGCAACTTTTCAGAATGAATAAATAAGCAGAATGTCAGAAAGGTTAGGTAATATACCTGAGGTCACATGAAGTCTCATTGCTGGTAAGTGGAGGACCTGGCAATGAAACTGGCAGCTTCCAAAAGCCTTTGCTCTAAAACAAAATTTGTATTTTTATGCATTTAACAGTTATTAAAGATTTGATGGGGAAACATAAGGACTGTCTTTACCTTTAAAGAATTCTGAGCAATGGAAGGGACTCATAAATAGATGTGTGAAATGTGAGAAGTCTGATAACAGAGAATGTGTTTGAGGAGCACAGTAGAGTGAAGTTCTACTTTAACAAGAAGTTGGCACTACAGTAGGCACCGTTAGAGCTGGGTCTTGAAGTAAGAGCAGGAATTTGTTTACTGTGCTATCCTAATTTAAAATACATGCACATGGCTTAAAAATAAGGGACAAAGGAAATTACCCTAAATAGTTCCTGTCCCATCTTACTGCCCACTCCTAGTCCCCCTTCCTAGAGGAACCTTTTCAAATTATCTTTATTTTAATTTTTTCTGGCTATAAAATGCTTATAAAATGCTGTTCCTTGATTTTTCCACTTCAGAAATTTGAGAGATGATCATTTAGTTTATATTCACTATCTCTCATGGTACCTCCCCCTGCTTTTGCCATTTTTTGATAGTTATATTTTGTATAGTCCTCTCTTTGCCTGGCAACATAATTTTTTTGTTTGGTTAAAACTAAGATGGTGAGATGAAGATCTAAACTAGAATTTTGCCAAACAAATGATCACTATTGTCTAGCCAAGTTGACACATAGAATTAAGTATCGTACACCCTTTCGCCTCCCAACTACTGATCAGTTATACTTTGGACATTATTTTAGTAGCCATGGTAAGTTGCTTCTAAAAGTTAAAAACACAAATGTTATGTTACTTAATTTAGTTGAATTAGTCACTATAATGTTGATGTAGCTAATCATTAAAAGGAATTTGTGTCTTATTTGTCTAATAGAATTCAAAATGAATTTGTAATGTATATAATTTGCTAGGGCTACCATAACAAACTACCACAGAATGGGTGGATCAAACAAAAGAAATTTGTTTTATTACAGTTTTAAAGGCTAGATGTCTAGAATCAAGGTGTCAACAGGTTGTGTTTCTTCTGAGGCCTCCCTACCTGGCTTGTAGATGGTCACCCCTTGGTCTGTGTGTTGACTATGTCATATCGGATTAAAGTCTGCACATATTAACTCATTTTACTTTAATTATGTCTTTAATGCCTTGTCTCCAAATACAGTCACATATTGGGTTAGGACTTTAACATATGAATTTTGGGAAAACACATAAAACTACTAGGAAATCATGTTAGATCTGATACACTATTGAGACTAAAGCAAAATACTTTTCCTTACTCTTTGTACATCAGATATAGCCCATCTTGAACAAATGTATCTGATTATTAAGTATGTTTGTCTAAGAATAATGTCATAACACTAGAAGTTTTTATTTTGAGAAAAAGGGATATAGGCTCTTTTATGAAATTATTAATAAATTGAAAAAAGATATTGACATAAAATATCTTTGAGGCCATGGATATAATTGGACAAATACAGCAGGTATATATTTGTTTCCTAAAATTATTTTCCCCTAAAATGGTTATGCCAAATAAGTTCATAATCTGTGCAAAAATGCTGCTTCTGTGAATTCAAATACAATCTTTTTAGTATGTACAAATGATACATAATCTTTTATGAATTCATTGAGCAGTGGAATGTTATGCTTGTTCTAAAAACTACATTAAAAACAAATCCTGAGAGGCATGAAAGTCAAATATGATCGAGGTACTTCACACAAATATGTTTGTCAAATATTAAAAGAACATAAAATGACACAATATCCTAAAATAGGAACCATCTTGGTGTGAACAGATTACAATTTTTCATGTAACTTGTCTATGTGGGATGATATTTTAAACTTAGTAGAAAAAGGTTTATGAAAAAAAAGACTATATACAAAGCTGCATGCTTAATAAAAGGCCTATTCCTTTGCTTATAACAAATGAGAGAAAGTAACTTAAAATTATGTTTGGTTAAAGTAAAACTTTAAAAGA